AAATAAATAAAAAATGATGAAGAAAAACCAAAAAAAGAAGAAGTTGAACCGTTTTAGATATTGAGGTTGTTTACAAAAAAAGAAAGAAGTAGAAGTCGAAAAAGATGAAAGAGAAGATGAAGAAAAAGAAAGATAAAGAAAAAAAAAAGAACACAAAACAATGAAAAAAAATTTCAGAAAATACGAGGACAAAAATGTTGTAGATAAGAAAAAGACAAAAAATGAAAATAACAAATTATGATAATATAAAGATAAAAAATAAGTCTAATAAAATCAAAAATATAAAAAAGACAAATATAATGAAGTAATTGTTTAAAAATAAAAATCTGTGTAACGCGCGGATTATAAATTTAGTAATTTTAATAACAGACTTGAAACATATTTTTAAAGTATCTTAAGATAATAAAATGTTCAGCAAGTAAACACAGTGTGTCAATCAGATTGTGTATGTTTGGGATTTTCTTCAAAAAAGTTATCTTTAGTTATGGCTGTTTGGCGTTTTGGCTCTTAAATTTCTGATTTCCTATTTAAAATCAATTTATGGTATTTGTGTTTTTTTTTCTCATGCCGGATTATGTTACCAGTTTAGGAATTTGTTAACGTAAAATGGTTGGTTTCTAGCCTCAGAACCGTGCCTTAGGTATAAAAAATTAGGCAATGGTTTAAGGCCACATCAAAGTTAACAAAATTATAAGACCACATTTATTTCAAAAATAGGTTTACATATCTTATATATAAAAGACAATCAACTCTCTCCAGCTGAGTGACACATCAGCAATAGAGAGACTGACATATGTCAATTTAAAATATTAATAAATAAATAATTAATTAAATTTAAAATAAATACATTAAAAACATATAAATAAACATTAATATATATATATTACAATGAATTCAAATTTATTTTCAATATACAAAATTTATAAATATTATATAATACAAAACTTTTTAAATGCACCATTCTATTTTCTTTTTTAAGTGATTTAAACTTCATTTTCAAATTAAAAATATAATTAAAATTTTAATGCAAGTAAAAAAGTATTAAAACTTAATAAGTTTAAAGTTTAAAATAATCTTTTATAAAACTCCAACTAATAAAATTATAAAACACAAAGAATATTAAATACATGATTAAAAAGTTATTAAAAATAATAGTAAAAAGAAGGGCGTCTACATAAAAATATCATACATGCTTTTTAATTAAAAAAAGTTGAAATCAATAATATATATAACCAAAAAATTCAAAATATAAAATTAAGAAAGTTAACAAATATTACATTAGTAAGATTTACAAGAATGAAAAATATGAGAATCGAATAACAAATAAATATTTATCTCTGATATTCAACGTATATTTTTAAATGAACGATTACGTTTTTATACAAAAATTAAAATAGTAGTTTTTTAATTCCTTATTATCTTATAAGAAAAATTATACTATTTAGCACAATTAGGTGTAAAAGAGATTACAAATAATATATCATCAAGAAAAAAATGAAGAAAATATAATATTTTAAACACAAACATTGATTATAAACATAAAATTCAATACAAATTATAAAAATATATTATTTAAAATGTAAATTAAAACAAGATCCGCGCATATATGCGCGGGTTCTCTCCTAGTATAGTTTAATACATGTATTTAGCTTATTTGTTTGAAAAAGTTCATAATCTTAAACATTTTTATTGTTAGAAGATAAATTAAACAGCTTGGTTATCATATCAATAAAGAAAATTGATTACAAATTTTAAATATGTGAATTTGATAAATGCTTTTTTAGGAAAAATGAGAATAATTGTAATTTAGAATTTATATATTATCTATTTCTTATTATCATTATTTTTGTATGTTTTAATTCATTGTTATAATTTTTTCTAAAAGTGTTATTTTTATAATAAAGGCCACATGTTTAAATTTTGTCTAAAGCCTCTATAAATCTAAGCACGGCTCTGTCTAGTTTTTTCATAAAACTCTTAGACTAAGTTTTCTGTAAATTTTTTTAAGCTAAGTGTTCGGTTTATCCAGCTTACGAATACCTTTTTATATTATATAGAACTTTAAAAAATGCAAATAGACACATTGTAAAACATAGAAATTTTTTTGTCGACTCACTTTCTGTTTTTACACTCATTAAACTGGCTATACTCCCTTGTTTACGTTTGAAGAAATAAATATTATGATTTTTCAACTTTTTTTTTATGTCGTCTGATTTTTCGACTTTCTAAAGTTAGTGTTTGGACCTGGTTAGGTGACTTTGGTCGGTTGTTGTGGTGGGATCCGAAACTCTCACTTGCAAGATCTTTCTAATATCCTTAAACAATAATTTTTTTAAAAATATGTCACTCGTTATGGTCGTTTGTTAACACATGTAATCAATCCAAAACCAAAAATATATAATTCTAGTCAAGAAAGAAATGCATTTTCTAATACAAATTAACAAACAATAATCAGTTGACTCTGCACTCAAAGTCTATCTCAATAATTTATATGTAGTTAGCACAGGCAAACATAATAAACTGATAAAAACATACGAAAACATTCTTCGTGGTTGCCCATTAACCAATTTTTGTATGTTTGTTGGTAAAGCCAATTTGTTGCCGCCCAAAAATCTGAAACTTTCAAATGGAGCAAAAATATGGTTATATTAACCGCTGCTTAATCCTGATTTAATATTTATTTCGAAGATGTAGGTGACAAAAAAATTTTGAACAGTACATTCAAATATGAGATTAATGTGAATAATGAGTAGGAGTATTTGATAGATATACACAGATAAATATAGGGATGAATTAGTACTGTCAGGTAGGTTTCATGTATATTTTCTTGGAAAGTGAAAAAGTAGAAGGAAAAGGAGAGAAAGTGAGAAAATAATGGACCAGTTACTGTCAAGTCACTTCCAAATGCTCAAGTGAGGAAATTTTCAGTAATCTATTTATATATTACCATAGTTAATTACGCCCAAACACATAATCTTATACATTAACAACGTTTAATTTTTTAATGAATTAGGCCTCAAAAACATACTGAACGCATTATTCAGTTTCGATCTCTATACATTTCTTTTGTTGCCAAATAATCAAAAGCTCAAAGCAACACCTTTTATTTGTAGTATAAAAGTGTTACCAAGAGATTTTTTGGGGTCATCACTGAGTGAATTTTTTCTTTAAATTAGATATTTACCCGTGCAAATGCACGGAGTTTTTTTATATATTTTTTTATGTTTTTTAAGATTTTTTGTAATTTGAAATAAACTCAATTCAGAATATGCTTTTTGAGGTTATCATATACATCTAAAAAAAAGTTGTTATTTAGTTCTTTTAATAATAATTTTTTATTAGTTTATTTGTAGCTATTATTTTATCTTCAAAGAAGCTAATCAAACACATATTATACTAAACAAAATCTAGAGCTGATAATCCAACAAATACTAAGTATAAAATATCATCTTATGGTTATAAACTCAAGAGGCATATCCTATAAATAAATAGATAAATTTATTCGGATTTTCCTATTTTAATTGGTAAACTCTTTCACAAACTCTTCTGAAATCAAAAATGAATATAATGGAGTTCTAACTATGATATCCCAAATTGTATTAAACCATGACCACTTTTCTTCACCAAGTTTTTAGTATGAAATCACTATAGATCTCACGTTGGAGATAGTCTTCTATGCTAAATCTTTCACTTGAATTTAATCACTAACTTTAATATTCGTTAACTAAAGCGAATTTAAAAACTATCAGCCCAAATTTTTTCAAAGTGACGTCTTATGGTTCTATAGTTCCATATGCTAAATCTTAAGAACACTTGCATGCTTGAAAAGATTATCGAGCCTTTGGTCACATAATTTCATCCTCTTAACATCTCTTTTACTTTTTGGGATGTTTTATGTAGAAGTAGAAAACTTTGGTACAGAAAATTGGCATATAAACCCAAATCTACAACTTTATGCAAAGAAACATATAAAAATTGAAAACAAATTAAAAATCCAAATCTTACAATTATGAAATTTGTCTGAAAAAGACTATAGAATACGAAAAAATAATTTAAAAATCCAATCTCTATAGTTATGGGATTTTTATTTTATTTAAATTTGTTTCCAAAATAGTTACTTACTTCCATGATTTTAGTTGTATTATTTCTAATTTTTAAAGTTAATAAGATTTATCAGTCCCTTCATTTGGTTACAAATTTTAGTTTTTACGTCTAAAATTGCGAAGTTTAATGCATAAGAGAAACGTATTGGTAAATTTTACAATTACTTCCCAATAATTTGTTGCATGAGAGAAATACGAATTTTTACAAAACAAAAATTCCTTAGTCATCATTAGTCATTACAACTAAAAATATATTTTTTTTCTTTAAATATTTTGTAATCATCTCCTTGACTCCTTTTAAAGAGATATTATTTGGACTTTTGAGCATACAAATAAGCTTGATTACAGCAGAACAAAAATTTGTCAAGATTTAAAATCTGAAGGCAACAAACAAACTAAAAAGATTTGTAATCCAAATGCAGGCTATAAACAAAGAGATGATCATTCACCTTTAGTTCCATAATTTTATGTTGTTGACTTCCTGATATTGATTAAGCTTTTTTCAGAGATTATGCAGTTGATTTTTTTTGTTTTCTCAAATTACATTTGATTTTTTGTTAGACTATCTTCATCAATAATCAATAGAATAAGAAGAAGTAATGGTATATTCTCTTTCACTATAATCAAAGGAGAAGAATTTTAACCAAACAAAAATAAAAGAAGATAAAAAGTTTATTGTTCCTAAGAGTTTTTTGTATTGTATTTAATGATTTAGGATTTTGGTGTTTTTTAAACAAATTATAAATCAATAAAATAAATTATAAATTATTTTTAAAATTTGATATGTTAAAATAATAAATGTTGAGGTGTCAGTGAAACACAACTCAACTTTTATATACTAGATACGAGACATATTTTGTAAACTGTGTGACAAACGAAGACGACACAGATATGTAATAAATATACATTTACTATGAATTTTTTTTCCTTCAATTTTCTAGGTGTCAGGAATCACATAATGATCCATCACTATACAAAGGCGAAAACAAGACTCTTAATTAATCAGAGACTATGCTGATCCTGCAACAAGATTTCTCTGTTTTGTCATCATCATCGTCATTTTAAACTAACTTTTTTTTTTTTTTGATTTTAACTAAAACTTCTGCCACCTAATTTTTCTTTTCTTTTTCTTCTCCAATATAAAACCTAATCGCTAATCTTCTCCCTCTGTTCCTTGATTGAAGTCAGGCTATCGATTGATTTCTCCGACATTGTATCGCTTCCAATTCTTGAAAATAAATACGAATCTACAAAAAAAAAAATCATATACAGATTTTTAATTAGCATTTTGTACATAATCTTCTTAAGACAAAATAAAATCAGTTAAAACAGAATTTATGATTTACCTTCAGAGGACGAAGTACTGAGTTTCTCTTGTGAAGAAGATTCACTAGTAGATCGCGATAACATAGACAATTCTGTAATCAAAGAGAAATCAATTAAAATTCATGACAAAAACCCAAATCAAGTCTATCAAAACACAGAGAAAGAATCTCTTTTTTTTTTTCTTTTTTTTTTGCGTACCTCTCGAACCATGAAACGATTTCTTGCAATGGAGAATCGCACTTTGAATCCCATCTTGTTGCACTTGTAAAGACTCGTCGAATCTCTTCGCCGGAGACAAACCTCCGACCGCCGCAGACGCCGACCGGCTCTTCCCAAGCTGCCTCCTCACGCTCCGAATCCCCGACGGGATATTACTCCTCTGTTTCTCTCTCGCCGCCGGTGAAGACGCCGGAGATGTAGATACACTGTTGGTGCTCTGTTTCTTCGTTGTTTTAGTGTATAGAGGCTTTATTAGATCAAAGAATCTCTTCGAGGAGGAAGAAGAAGAAGAAGAAGATGAAACAAAAACAGGGGAAACAGAGCCGTCCAACGTCGCGTCGTCTTTAATTTGTGACCTCGCAATGCTCGCCGTTTTTCTGAAGCTTGTTGTTGTTTCGTCTTCGATTCTGAACCTTACGTTGAGGCTTCTGCTGGTGTTTTCTCTCTTCTCAGACGTCGTTGACTTTTCAGTTTCGACGGGTTTTGACTTCTTGAAGGAGAAAGCACGAAACTTTTGACCGGATTTGAAGAGAGTGATCGGAGATTGAGGTTTGGAAGCGATTTCGACGAAAGGGAGGACTTTGCTCTTGGAGACTCCAGAGAAAGTCGTTGTCTGTTTTTCTTCTCTCTCTTCAGGGGTTTTGTTTTCCTTTAAGGAGAAGTCGGAGAGAGAGATCTCGAGCTCGAAGAAGGAATCATCTCCTTCGCCGCCGCAGAGATCTACTTCGGTTTCGGTTTCTCCAAATGCGGTAGTAGATTCGACGGCGGATTCTGAGATTCTGATTTCACGGCGGGGTTTATTGCCGTTGGCGTTGGTTAGCCAGAATTTCATAAAGCTAAGTGCTTCCATTTAGAGAGAGAGAGAGAGATGGAGATTTAGAGATATAGAGAGAGATATAGAGAGAGAGAGAGAGAGAGTAAGAGCTTGGATTTGTCAACGGGAATAGGCAAGGAAGGTTTTATATAAAAGGAAGAAGAAAGAGAAGGTGAGCTTTTCGAAATGGGTTTAATCTTTTTGATTTTTTTTTTTTTTAATTTTGTAAAAGAAGAAAAAAGTAGAATGAAAATGCCATTTGAGAAAGAAAAGGATTTTGATAAAAAAAGAAAGAGAAAAAAAAAGATTATTGTTTGTTTTTTATATTTTGTTTGAGCTTTCTTTGTACTTTATGATATTACCGCTCCTTTCCTTCTTTCTTTTTATCTTTTTTTTTTAATCTTTTTCCTTTTCTTTTTTACTTTTCCTTTACTTTTTTTTTTCCATTGCACAGATGAACATTTGTTTCATCTATTGTCTTCATTTATTTATCATTACATGCGATAACACATATGGTGGTAGCTAAAGTGCTTTAATTTTTGTTGTTCATGTAAAATAACAATTTTTTACATCTCAAACGATAACAAATCATATCTGGACAGAAAAAGAAACTGAATCAAACACGAAGAGCGTAAAAATATTGAAAAACTTGGTTAACCACAATATTACCAAATACTGTATCATGCTTACACCAAAAAAGAAAAAAAACACAATATGTGTAAAGACAAAGGTAAAATATAGTGGTCATCGTCATCAAGTATTTTTGGATTTTATATAGACTCGATTCGAAAATTATTGGTTCGATTCTCAAGTTCATTTTGGTTTTGGATTAAATAAGTAAAGTTTCATATTGATACGTATCGAAATGTCTTTTTTTTTCTTCCAATTATCGATTCATGTAGTTTGCATCAAATTTTGGTCGATTCTGTTTATAATATAATTCGATTCAGTTCGGTAATTAATTCAGTTAAGAGATACCTATTATAAATGTCTTTGATAGTTATACTCTTTCCTTGCTCCAACTGTGCTATTAGTCTTAGAAGATTCAAGCTAAGAAAATTAGAACCAATACCATTACTAAATCCCTTTCCAACGACTTAGTTTTTCTTATTTCATTGATTAAGTTTCTCATCAAGAAATGCTCTAATTATATGTATCATGTAAGCTGAACTTTTTTTAAAAAAATATCTAACATGAATACATGATACTATCAAAAAGCTACATAAAACTAATGAGAACAGAAACTTCTTGATTATTCAATAATATTTATCGTATTATGCAATTATAATATGATAATATAATATCATGCAAGAGTTGTCAATAGCTTCATCAATCTTTTGAGTATTATTGTAAAAACCCTCAAATTAACGATAACAATAGTTATAAAACATAATAACATGTTTCAAATATCATTGTTTTAGAGTATCAACAGGTCCCCCAACGAACTTATATCTAAGATAGCAAAAAAAAAAAAAAAAAAAAACGAAGAACACGGAAATAAATAAATAAATTAGAATGACAAAAATATACATTTACTCCACAGAAAAAGAAGAAGAGTTCAGCTCTCTCACGTTCTGAGTTTTGTGCTTAAAGTTACGCTCGTGTTCTTTCCATGACAAAAGTATATTTGGCCCATTACATAGTTCAATTTTCCTTTTGTCTCTACTTTGAAAAATAAGTTGTGTATGTGTTTATATTATGTAGACCCCAAAGGTTTTAACCTCAAAAGCTTTGACTTGAAAAGCTGTTTCTTTCGTGAATTTCAAAAATTTCGACCTTCTTTCACTTTAAAGTTTGAAGAACAGTTTGCTTTATAAACTTTTGTTTTGTTTTAACACTTTGTTTTTAGCTTTAATACAAGTGAGAATCAAAACATTCGTTTTAAACTATTAATAAGTTATTGATTAGCCTAACTATGTTTTCATACGTTTTTTTAAAAAGAACTTTATCAGCTTTGCTTTTCTGTATTTTGATTCAATTTAAGACTCTACACTTGTTCTGGTTTTGTTGTTTTCAATGCAGCAAACTGGAAATGTATAACCGACAAACTAAAAGAATGCAGTTCCGTTCGTTCCATTAGGTTGTTTTTTGTTAGTATAATTAAACGCACTTGTTTTTAGATTTTAGTTTATGTTTGGCTGTAGTTAAACACTTAAACTATATAATAGTTGGTGAAAAGAGAAGAAAAGGATTCAAAGGATAGCGTTGAGCTATACCGACTAAAAGTGCTTATACCTAAAAATGACTCATAGAATAATCCAAAAGATATGCCTATTGATAACTAAATCCACGGAATCGTCATGGAATGTGTGTTTGCATCATCACATCTAATATTATTGTTTATTAGGTATTGAACGGAAATTTTATGTTTTGGGGTCTAAAAAGGTGATAATGAAAAGAAAATTAATAACATAAAAGAAACGTTGAAGATATAATTCAATATTAACTTAAAAATGTACACTGTGCTGCATGCCTTCATTAAAGATAAAACCTTAGTGGTTTCCACGACTATCATTAGGTTATTTATAATAATAGATGTACATAATGAACGTTACGTAGACTTACATTTATTTACCAATGAGCTTACTCAAGTTCCTCATTCTTGTAAAACATATAAATTTGAATTCTTTATGTTTCTTTTTCTTTTTTTCTATATGCGTTTTTATATTTTAAAACCACTAGTTCTTCATTTCTAATTACCACCGACAATTCACTGCTAGTCTAAACTAACATATTCCTGTTGTTCCTTTTGATTTGTTGTTATTATTGTTTTCTTTGAGTTCTATAGTTTCTTGAGTGATCACCGATCAGAACATAATAGCTTGGAGATCTAGAAGGAACATGAGACTTCTTATGGAGAAACAGAATATTATTACAATTAGAACGTCTCCATAAACAAAACAAAAAAACTATCCAATTATTTCAGTTTGTTTTGTTTTCCACCATTTAGGCCCATCAACCCAACAAGGCTAATGAAGGACTCGCAAGCCTAGTAAGAGATGTTTACTTTTCTTTGTATTGAATTTGAAATATGTACCTAACTATGAATATGAATGTGCATATGAGTGAGTAACAAAGTTTATAGATATACACAGATAGTAAAATGTTTTGGTAAAGCTACAAAACTAGTATAGCGTAAAAGCCCATAGGCCACGAGAGGCTTCATCGTCTGGATCACTTTCATCATCAGACGAACTCATTGTCCCCAGTAAAAAGTTAGCAACCTGTGAAGATTCATTCACTTTCATCAGACGAACTCATTTGTCTCCAGTAAATAGTGAACAACTTGTGAAGAAACAAAAGCAGATAGATAACTTGCTCGACAAGTACCAAAAAAAAACGTGACAAAAACGAAGTAACAAAGACCACCGAGAAACATTTCATAAAAATTTCTTAAAAAGAGGAAAAAGCTTACCTGGCGAGTTGACATGAGTTCGAGTGGCTCGTTGTCTGATTTCAACCGACATTGTTTGTTCGGACATCTCAAGTTTTCGTGCCAAACAACGGAGTCACAGTAACAACAGTATCCCCGACCAGATCTTAAATCCTTTGATGAATTATCCCCTGCAAGGTTACGCCAGATTGCATAAAGAAAGCGGATTTTTTTGAAAGAGAGAAGATGAAACAGTGGACAAAAAAAGCCCTTACCGATATATGCGTTCTTAAAGGCTTCTCTCCAGCTAACACCAGACTGAATACGAATCAAGGCTTTGTGATTGAAGTGAATGTCATATTGTAATCGCCACAGAGAGTCTTCACACGTTGCTTGGTTCCATGAGCTACACAAAAAGAGACAAAACAAAACAGATATGTAGAGGGGAAAGAAGACAGCCTAAGCAAAAGACTCTGCAATGTGGAAATATATTAGGAGGAAGTAGTACCGAGACACTTGAGATGAGGAAAGTAAGGACGATACATCGAGGAAGCTGAAGATGTGAATAAGAATATCTTGTGGAAGTGAAGGTAAATCTGGAAAAAAATGGATTCGCACGTAGTGAAGGATTATCTCGAGGCTATTAGAGAAGAGATTTGCAGAAAACTTAACTAGAAAACATACCTATATCTTCCTCGTGGCTTTTACTGCGTCTCTTCAGTGCTACTTTTGTCTTCTTGAATTCTACAATGGCTAAGTTCTTCTTCTGTTTGGGGAGCACGGCTTCCACGCTCTTCAGGAGAAGGTTAGCAGCTGAAACAGCAGCTGATGTCTTCATGCTAATTGAAAGAAAAAAAAGATACAGAATCTGAAAAGTATTAGACTTGAGAAGATAATTTCCCATGAAGCTGCAAGATAATTCAAGAGTCCAGGAGATTTGTGCTATAAGAATAATGTGGTCTTGACAAGTAGTCTCATGTCAAAGAAAGTGTTTGATTGTTCCAATCGAAAAAACTTGCCTTTACGTTTACATTATGAAACAGAACACTCCAGCTTTTGTAACAAAAAAAAAAATCTTTCGCAAATTGACAAAGCAAAAGCGAAATGTAAACTCAAACGCGAAGAATCAGCCAAGCACATAATCTATTAGACTTAATCCTCTGCATCATCCTGGGTATAATCTGAGAAAGTTCCCAACTTTGATGATTAAAATTATCTGCTAATGTTCAGCAAAAAAAAAAAAAAAAAACAACTTTCTACTTTTTTTTAACAATAACATTTTTTTTTTGTGTGGCAAACTATATATATGCAAACACAAAGAATCAAAGCTATTCGATTCAAAGATGAAACCACTACTACTTTAGCCAAAGTTCTCTGCTTCATGGTTCGTTGAAAGTTCACAACTTTGCTATTTAAATTTTTCGATTTTGTTTTCAGGATTTACATAAGCGGATGATGAAGCAGCCATTAGAATTAGATTACCAACCCTACAAGTTAGGCTACAACAATTGAACAAAATCTCAACCGCCAACATCCCTAATCTTCTCAAATCATAGTTTGTAAGAAATAATTACATCAAATAAACCCCCAGAAGCGATAGATTCAATCCTCGTAAAATCCTACATACCATCAATCAAGATGAGTATCATGTAGAAACAACCAATTCGAATTTCGAATTTCTAATAGAAAAACTTACTCAGGAAGAAGGCGAAAAGCGGAGAGAGTATCTCGAAAGATCAAAGCTTTGAGATTTTTGGGTAATTGAGAGTAACCCAGATTTAAAATGGAGCTCAGTTCATTGCAAGCAACTGGGTAATGATGATTATTCGAGAGAGCTTCTCCTACCATTAGATTTTGGTATCTTCTCATTATTTTTCTGGGATCAGACATCGTCTAAGGTTTGATCTATCCGAGTTTTTGTTTGTGTTCCTGCTTATTCTGTGTTTTCGCTACTTTTTTAAAATTGTCATCAAACCGGAATCGGTATGGTATAGATCGGTTCCAATTTATGGAAATATTGTGTACGTAATTACATTTGAAAACCTTAAATAAATTGGTTCCTATTTATGGAAATAACTACGAGAATTTTGGTTTTTGAATTTGCTGTAAAATACATCTATTATATTAAAACAGAAGCACATTTATTCCTTGCTTCCAAACACTCCTAATTTTTTTTAAGTATTTAAAAATAATTTTAATAACTATTTATATTTAATTTCGAAAATTAGTTATTAATTTAAATATTCTTAGAATTCCTTAAATATAGGTAATTTAGATTTAATTTGATTTGATTAAAAATAATAAATCAGATATTAATTTAGATTTGATTTAAAGATTCTAATTTAAATAATTTCTATACTATTAAACATTTTTATCAAAAATATAAAACATAATTCACATATAAAAAATAATGGTCATATTTGAAATATAAAATATTTATAATGATGTAAATTATATGATATTTATGTTGCTTATATAATATATTTACGATTATGATTTATTTACAAATTAATAATAAAATAATAGGTAAAATTTAAATATATAATTTAAATATTAAAAATATATTTTTTAAAATTCATAGAACTAAAAATATATAAAAAAAACCGGGTTAAAAATATTTTGGTAACTAAAATCACTAATTTTGAATTTTATATGTATATCAAAAATATTTTTTTCATACAAAATCAAAACATAAAAAATTAAAAATTATTGCGTACACTATAATGTGATTTGAAAAACCAGTTGTACACTCTTTTCGTTGATTAAATTTTAGAAAACTATAAGGCTAAATAATACTGTTAATACATCTCAAATTTTTAACAAATATTTATATTATACGGTAATATAAACGGAAAAGTTAAAATTATGTTTTTATAATAGTTTATCTTGAATTATTATTAGCGGACGGGTTAAAATTATATTTTTATAATCATAATTAATTTTAATACTATAAAAATATATCTAAACACAAAAATCAATATTTTCACTTATTAAAAAATATATTTATAAAAATAATTATATCTAAACTCAAAAACCCAAATTATATTACAAAATTCGTTAAACAATAAAAAATATTCTCGTGCGGATGCACGGGGTTAGAATCTAGTTATTTGTTTAAAAAACTAACTTAAATGGTGAATAACTTTATATCCATGTGTTATAACAAAAACTAGTTGATTACCCTTATTCGAATATGTAAATATAATATATATATATATATATATATATATAAATACAACTATAAAATGTTAGCTGATATTGTAAATATATATGATAATTATGCAATTATAAATAATGATCAAAAGTCATATTTATTTTATAATATAATTGCATAAATGTTAGATAATTATTGATTTTCTAATTAATTTTAGTAATATTTATATATAAATAAAATTATACATTAAAATACTAAATTAGATTAATATGTTCTATCTAACCGATCTAAAATCAAGATACTTTGCTTTGATATAAAAAACGTGAATTATAATATAAATAAAAAAATTTAGATAATATTATTATTATTAAATAGATAATATAATTATTTTTAATAAAATTAAGATTAAAGAAAGATGATATAAGAAAATAATGTTTAGTAACATAAGTAATATTATGTATTAAATTTTTATAAACATGTTGATAAGAAATAGAAAGAGAGAGAGAATATTTTTACAAATTAAATGTTTGAATATTAAATATATATTTGATATAAACTAATCTTTAACCAAATTAATATTAATAGCATATGATGTAATTAATCTAGTAAGTTAAGTCTAATTTCAAAAAATCTTTGAGAAGGTCTCTGAGATTGAGATATCAGCATGACAAAATTGTTAATATAACACATGATATAAATACTTTTTTCTTAAGTGTCCTTCTCAAATAATAATAGAAAATATACATAATTTTAAATGAGACCTTTGCATTTTGTTTTGACAGCAACAAACTTGTAACAAAAAAAATAAACAACTAATGAAACTTTGTTATATACAATAATACAATCTTAAATCAAATTCCAGTTTAACATTTCCGAGTTAAAAAATTAATTTCTAGAATTAATTCACTGCACATTCTGAAAAATTTTCGTCTAATTAGTCCCTATTTAAAAGGTGTACAAATTTAGAAGTTCCTAGTTCCTAAATCTCAACATCTATTTCACTATATACAATTTCTTATAAAAAAAAAACAATCTCAACATCTACCAGCAATTGACCAACCAAGAAAATATTTATATAAATATGTTTACTACATACATTAACTACACATTCACAATGACATAAATATGAACATAGGAAAAAAAATCACAGTTTGAGAAAAACTAAAAAAAAAGCCCAAAAATGAAAGAGAAGAAGACGGACCTAGAAAAGTAATCTGAAAATAGAATAGCCTATCAAGTAAAAGAAGACTCTTTGTTTTGGCGTGCCAAATACCAAACGGGTCTGTTTGATATCTTGTGCACTAAGAAACTAAACATACATTCACATTTTGTAGGGTTTTTCATTTTTCAGAGGAAGTAAGTGAGCTGTTCCTTTTTCCTTGACCCTCCTTCTCCATACAAGTCGTTCCATTGCTTCAGCTCATTCATTCCTGATCCTTCTGATGCAAAACTCGCAGCTACCTGCAAAAACACAAACAACAGATCTTAGAGTTAGGTTTTTTTTTCCTCGTCTTTTCTTGTCAAAATGAGAAAAGATGTTAGACCTGGTTTTTAGCTTGTCTCATGTCTTCCATGTTCAAAGGTCTCAAAGTAATGACTCTCTCCTCAGAAGCTTCTTCTTTTTCTTCTTCCTTTGCTTCTTCCGTGCTTTTTCCTGCTTCTTCTCTCTTCTTGCTCTCCTTAATTAACCACCAAGAAAGTTTCAGAAATGTGCAGAGAATTCGATTCGACAAAGAGGGTAAAAGAGGGTCTTAAATAAGTATTGTACCTGATCTTTCAGTCTTTCTTGTTGAATCAGCTCTCTAACTGGTCTATACGCAGCTGTAATGCATAAGTTCTGTTGCACAAATGTTTAACAAACAGTCAGTTTCCAAATACCAAAATTTTTCACACAAAGAGTTTTGAGTTCTTGTTAGAGACAACAAAAAAACCTTGAGATCACTTCCACTGTAGCCTTCTGTCATCTGTCCAAGCTCATGAAAATCAAGATTCTCTGTTTTCTCTTTTGACAACAAAGTTCTCAGGATCTTCTCCCTACTCTCAATTGAAGGAAGTGCCACCATTATTCTGTAATTCCAACACAAAACTAAATCAGTCACAATAATAGCCTTCATACAAGACTGTTTAGAGCTTTTGCAGTTTTACCAAAATTGCTTTAGTACCTTCGCTCAAACCTCCTAATGATAGCTTCGTCAAGGTCAAACGGTCTGTTAGTCGCTGCAAGAACAAGAATCCTTTCACCAGGTTTGGTCATTAGTCCATCCCAATGCGTCATAAACTCATTCTTGATCTTCCTCATAGCTTCATGCTCTCCAACTCTAGTCCTTTGCCCCAACATACTATCCACTTCATCCACAAATATAATCGTTGGAGATACTTTAGCTGCTAAAGTAAACAAAGCTCTCACGTTCTTCTCATCTTCTCCAAACCATTTCGAAGTTATTGTAGACATGGAGACATTGATGAAGCTAGCTCCAGCTTCGTTTGCAATTGCTTTTGCAAGCATTGTTTTGCCAGTGCCAGGTGGACCAAATAGTAGGATTCCTCTACATGGCTTGAGAAGACCGCCTTTGAAGAGATCCGGTCTTCTAAGTGGAAGCATCACAAGTTCTTGAAGCGAGTCTTTTGTTTCGTCTAAAGAACCAATATCTGCAAATGTCACACCAATCTCGTTTGCTGGTATAACCTCTGGTCTTATACGCTTCTCAAACTCATTATCAGGAACAACCTCAGGTGCTTTTGGAGGCAATGCATTGTCATTCTTGTTTGAAGGGAGCGATTTCTCCAAGTCGTTTTTGTTTTCAAGAGAAGATGATTCGGATTTTGACTCGCTCTTTGAACATACTTCTCCTCCTTTTCGCTTATAGTCTGTGTTTGTGTCTAGCTTCAAGGAGTCTTCAAATGTTCTGCTTCCTCCTTCTTGGAATATACTTAGTCCATGTGACAAGCTGTTGGAAGATCATAATTAAATCAGTTAATTAGCTGGAAAATCAGCGAATAAAGAAACCGATTCTAATACTTACCTTTTGGAAGATATAACAAGCTTTCCATTTCTGTATTCCGGTTCTTTGGTGTGTATCAAATGATAAGAGATTGCAGAAACCACAATCTCCTCAATGTGGTTACTCAAACACATTGTATCTGCGTGGCATATTGAAGCTAAGTCATCGCATTGGATATCATTAGCAGCAAGAACCTCTGTGATGTGGTTCTTGTTGTCTTGAAACTGAATCATCTTCATGTCATCTTCTAATCGATTTTTCCAGCTCATGAGCTGAGATTCATCCTCCGGTGGTCTGATCTCGATGTTGTAAGGAAACAGAGCGGAAATGTCTTCCCCTACCTCTTGGCAATCATCTTCTGGTTCTAATACTCTTGAGCCAAGAATCAAGACTGGGCCAGAGAGCTTGTTCAACAGCCTCTGGAACAACTTGTAGAATCTTTCTGACTCAAGAAGCTTCCCAACGTCCCTTAGGTATATTATTAGCGGATTTGTTTCCGAGACAGAGACCAAAACCTGCAGAAAAAGACAACAATTGTGATAAAAAACCATTGTAACAATGTAGAATACTAGTGAAGAGGTTTAAGCATTTTACCTTGTAAAGTGACTGCAGGAAAAGTTTTTCATCGAAGCATAGATTTGTGCTGCGTTTGCTGGAAGCTAGAAGCCATTAAAAGTCATATATGAAGCAGAGAGAAGTAAGAACCTGAAGCTGAATACAATATGTTAAAAGAATATATTATAATAATCAGTTTCCAAACCTGAAACAGAACTTG